GGATTGATGCAAATGATTGCATCTATCTACTAGCTTATGCAGTTGTTAAAAGTGAAAACTATGACTCTTGGTATTGGTTCCTACTTTTGCTAAAAAATGGCTTTGAAGTTGGAAATTCTTATCACTGAACTTTTATGCAAGACAAACAAAAGGTTTGAACTTTATCCTTTTGATTTTTTATTAGTTCCTTTTAATATGAAATTAAGTTTATGGTATGAAACTATAGTTTATACTTTTGTTGTTTTGGTAAGGACTTATGGATGCACTTATGGATATTGTACCTAATCCTGAGTAAAAAAAACTATGTTAGGTATATATACACAAACTTTAAGTTAAACCTTATAAACGAAGGAAAAACATTGAATGACTGCTTGTGGAAAACAACTAAAGCTACCTACTTGAAAGAGTATAAAGATGTAATGAAAGAAATGAAAGCCTTGTCAATTGATGCATGGCTTAATGGAAAAGATCTAGCTCATTGGTCTAAGTTTCACTTCTCAACAATGGTTAAGTATGACATGTGTTTAAATAATTTATGTGTCTTTTAACAAGTTTATTTTAGATGTAAGAGTAAGCCTATTCTAACAACGATGAAGACCATTAAGACAAAATTAATGCAAAGGATTGTCTTGAAGAGTGCACCAGCTAAAAAGTATTCGGGACCACTTTGCTCTAAAATACAAAAAAGGTTAGATCATATTGTGTTACAGTCAAGTAGATGCTGGTCAAAACATGCTAGTGATCCATGATACCAAGTAGTAAGTGGGCCATCAAACCAGAATGTAGTGAACCTTTAATTGCATAGCTTTTCATGTAGAAAATAGGATCTCACTAAGATTCTTGCATGCATGCTGTTTCAGCCATGTTCTTGTCTAAAAAAATACCTAAAAATTATGTCAATTCATGCTACAGCATGACCACATAAATCAATATATATTCCAACTTTATTTGCCTTATCAAAGGTGCAAATCAATGGACAAGTGATGGCACCTTAGAATTAATACTGCCATCTATTATAAGAAGGCCACTTGTAAGACAACATAAGAATAAGAGAAAAGAAATGGATGCAACAAGTGGAAGTCAGTCCAAAATCAACAAGAGATGAAGGAAACTCAGTTGTAGCAAAAGTGGAAAACTAGTGCATAATGCAAAGACATGCAGATGAGAGATTGATGGTAATAACAGATTAAATGTAACTAGGAGATTTGTCAGACAAGCAAGAAAAAATGTCTCAAAGTTACTTGTAAATGTTTTGGTTTATTGATTTATTTCATTAATAATAATAATAGATAAAATATAGTAACTTACTTTTATTATTTCCATTTTATAGGTTAGGAGAGCTGTTGGGACTACTAATCAAAAAGCTAAAGATCCTACCACTAAAAAGTTAATATATAATAAATGTTTCGGATCATTTAATCTAAATACTTACATTTTTAATGTATTTTCTATACTCAAACCACAACTAAAATATCTAAAGAGCATGTTTAACCACCTCCAACGACTGATAGATGGATGCTTGATGTAAGTAATAATTTTGTCTACCCTAAACCCCCCTAAAAAACCTTTAACCATAAATATTGAATCATTTACTGTATTGATGTGTAAGGCTCTAGTTAAAATTTTCAATCACAACAAAATTTTGTGTATGAACCAAGTGGAGTTTTTAAACCTCTTGAAACTTCTACAAGTACTGAAGCATGCCAAAAAGGAATACAAATGCAGTGGAGCTACTTTGTTAAGCATGTTGCTAAGAGAAAGATGCATGCAACCTATGTTCAATAAAATAAAAGAGGTACTAAAAGACCAACAAAACCAATACCATAAAATGAAAAACCAATAACAACTTACAAAGGATTTTTTTTTTTCTGTACATGATTGGGTTAGGGTATTTTGTGCACATGACTGGGTTAGGGTATTTTGTGCACATGACTTGTTTAGGATATTGATCTAATAGAAATGTCTTTTGTTGTATGTTGGATTAGCAACAAGTTTTTTTTTTATAAGGGTATAGATTTAAGGGTTTTTTTTATAGATAAAGAGTTTCTTTTTATTGGTAAGGGTATACATGTAAAGAGTTTTATGGCATTGATGTTTAGGAGTTTGTTTCAAGTTCAATATACTTACTGGAACTATATTATAAAGTGGTGTAAATGCCTTATAATTATCAATACAGTAATATTTTTATTAACTATTTCTATATTAGGTTTATAATTTGTTATTGGTTTATGGTTTTTAATTTATTAATTTCTTTAAATTTTATATGTTTTTTGAAATTATAGATCCATTAAGGTTAGGTTTAGGCTTATTATAGAAAGTGATTTGTTAAACAAGTTTTATCTTATTAAAAGGGATACATACATGTTACAAAATAAAAGCTTCTCTAAGTCAAAGAGATCTACTATAATAGTATATTGAAACAGATAAATAATTTAAAATATTGAGTTTACTACATAATCTAATCTATTACATAATATAGCTGCCACTTAATACCAAAATGATCTTCTGATACCAATCTAAAATGTAAAACACTTTATACATATTATAATGCACCTAATAGATGTTCTAAAACTCATCTAGTGGCTATTATCATTCACTAACATCTGATACAAAATACACAATAAACCCATAATTCTTCAATGCCATTGTGCCTAATGCACTTAAACATTACCCTAAAAACCATTATACATAAAGACTAAACAACCCTAAACCATTATATCCAAGCTTAATTAAGTGAAAATCAAACAACAGGCCAACAACAAAATCGATAATACCCATTCCTTTCTTCATTGGCTTTTAACAATTCTCACTTTTCTTAAAAATGCCCAATAAGCACAACTCTTGCACAATCACCAACTGGTGGATCATATCAACTAAAGAAATGACATTTGTATGAATACATATAATTCTTACAACCTAAAAATTTTTTTCCAAGATTGTCATTTGATCAGGAAGTCCTTAACTCGCTAGTATTCCATAATGACAAAAAGGAATACTCATATAGGGTTTTCCATCCTTAACCAAGGGAGAATAAACAAAGAAAAAGAAGCAAAAGAAAAGGGAATGAACAAAAAATAATAGGGAAAGAAATAAGGAAAGGGGAAAAGAAATAGAAAAAAAAAAAAAGGTTGTAATTTTGTGTAATGTGGAAAAATATGGGCCATGTAAGCAAATGTTTCTGATGAGTGAAGCCACATCGGATAAACATTACAGTTTAACCGTATAATGATCCAAAAAATACTTATTCAAATGTTAATGATTAAATTAAAAATTTTAATATTCTAGTAACCATTTTAAAATGACTACAATAGTTAAGTGACCAATTATGAATTTACCTTAAAACAAAATGGACTTTAATTAGAGTATGAAATGTTGACTAATAATCGAGTGAGTTATGGAAGATAATTATAATGGAAATATCATTTGATTTAGTAAGCATTCTGAATTGGCTAGCTATTGTACTAAATTGAATTTTAATATTTGTAAAGTTGAATGGGCGTGTAAATAATTTAAGAAATTTATGATGGTGTTGAATTTTTTTGGAAAATGAAGAAAGATAGGCTTTGGTATTTAATATTTTTAAAAGTTAATTCAATTGAAAATGTAATTTGCTAAATAAAATATTTTAAATTTTAAATTAAATCAAAACAATTAAATACGTGACACATGATGTTTATTTAAGACTATATAGATGTCAAAAAAATAGACCATTCACATAAGATTTTTTTTTTGTCAAAAGGTTTAACTTTTATACATTTATATACTATATAAGATATAAGATGTGATGAAAATAAATAGTATTTGACATAATATAGATCAAAAGTGTTGTAATCTAGTTAAAATTTAAATTGTGATAATTATAAACTTAATAAATGAAAAATAAATATCTCTATAATGTTTAACAAAAATGCCAACAAAAAAATAATTTCACATAAATAAATTAATCTTTAAAATATTAACATAAACTTTCAAAGATAATCATAAGAAAATGTATCAATTAGTGTAAAAAAAAGTTAAAAGTGTAGTAACACTCTAAAAAAGTTACAGAAATTATAAATGTAATAGAAAACAAGAATAAGTTTATTAAAATATTATTTTAATATAAATAAATAAGTTGATAACATATTTTAAATTAATTACTTTTTCTATAAATAGATAAGTCTATAGTTAAAAAGTACTCTTTAAAGGCTAAAAAAGAAAAGATAACATAAAAGAATTAATATTTTAAAATTAAAAACAGTTTTTTCAAAATATTTTTAATGTAAATACGTGAGAATAATAATAAAAAATATGTATCAATTAGCATAAAATTGATAAAAATGTGTCATAACACCTTAAAAAAAGTTATAAAAATCACAAATATAATGAAAGTAGGAATAAGAATAATAAGATATTATCTGGTAAGGTTAAATTTAAATTAATTATCTTTTCCTTAAATAGATAAGTTTAATGGATAAAAAAAATACTTTAAAGTCTAAAAAAAACCAAAATAAAAAACTTCTATTTTAAAATAAAAAATTCTTTTAAAAAATAATTCAAAATGAACATATAATTTTATTTGAATGTTAAAGTTTGAGAAAATATATAAAATATTGGATACAAATTACATGAATACATAATTTTTTCACACTATTATATTACTTAATTTTAAAATTTATATAATATTGTTTAATATATTTGATATAATGTAAATTATATGATTTAACATAATTTTAGTATGGTATTAATTAATAATACTAATAAATAATTTTATTTAATACTAGAAAATTTTATTTTATTTAACAATATTATTTAATATAACTTTAAAATACACTCTCTAATATTATTAAATAATTTAAAATTATGAATTAAATGAATATTAAAAAAAAAAACATTATCATGCATTAAGGTGAATTAAGGTGATTTAAATAATGAAATGAATATTGAATTAAGCTGACTAATAGGCAAATAAATTAATGTTTTTATATATCGCAAATAAATTAATGTTCATCTAAATTATTCTGGGTAAAATCAACAACATTATCCTAATCACATCGCATATGGCACAATTAGTGATTTCGACATGACACCAAATTTATTTTCTTAATTCCTTTGAGTTTAAACCTTTCAATTAACTTGATCATTACAATGTTCAAATTGCAAACACTTGCAGCCAACTTATCAACTTCTTTTCTGGACAAATGAAACTCTGATCAATAATTAATGACAACCAATGCATTTTACTCTCACTTTTATCAGAAGAAAAGAAGAAAACTTGCCAGGTTATGTGCATTACTTGAAAGTAATTCCATTTCCACATATCTTGACTCTCTTCAGTGTCAACTGATTATTGAATAAATCAAAAACCAGAATCACCTGTGCTACATGATACATTATTAAACGTAATTCAAGAATAAATTTTGCCTAACCATGTATTCTTTCTTTAACAGACAAGTCAAATGTAACTACACTGACCCAGTAGCAAATCAAGCATATCGTCAGGAGTTAGAAAAGTAGTTCCACCAAGAATTAGCTCAATATCAGGTCTTCCGCTTTCCGATAATGCTTCTTGTGCTTCCTGTACCTTGCAGTGATAAACAACATAAGAAAGTGTCATTCTAATTTGAGTTGGAAAAAGAAAAGTTACAGAACGTAAAGAATCATAGAAGGCTTTAAAAATTTTTAAGCAACGGAAAAAATTGTGAACATAGATGACAGCAAAAGAAAAGCAAAACCTGTAGAAGATCAAAGAAAGTCAGTACCTCAACACCGTTGATGCCTCCGACGACAAAAACCAGAATGACATTTTGGTCTGCGAGACTTGGTTTTGCCTGTAGTATTGTTGAAAACAGAGTTGAACAGATTAGAACTATTAAAACATACTACCATGTTTAACTTTAAAGATTTATGGAAACTAAAGTTACCTGTCCAAGGCCAAATCTTCCAAACCCACTTTTAAACAGTCGCCCTACTGTAGATGAATGGTACTCCAACCCTGGTACATCAAACTTGCCCAAAATTTTTATTAGAAGCTTATAAAGTAATCCTTTATCTGTGTAAGGATCGCTACTCAAATTGCTTTCAAAACCCAATGACCCTTCTCTTAAGGGCACATTCTTTCTCTTTAAACTAGATAACTTGTGAAGATGTTTGAAAAGGTTATCCACTCTATCGCGCAACTCCAACTTAAGCTGCATGTCATCATATGCTTGCTCTTTGTTATCATTATCTTCATCTTCATCTCCCCATTTACCCCACTGATCATCATCAAAATCATCAATCTCTAATTGATCTGTTGATGTTTCTTTGGTTTCATCTGATTTTGTTTTATTTAAATTGGTTTCAAGTTCTTGTGTTAGACCATGAAGAAACTTCAATCTAGCCACCGATGGGTTTTCAAGAATTGCATCCACAATAGCTTCTTTAAGAAAATGCTCCTCTTGCCAAGAAAAAGGGCCACCAGATCCAGAAGTTGGGAAGTTTTCACCAGCCAATATATAACCAATAATTGTGAGAAGCAAAGCATCTTGAAAAGAAAGCAGCCCTTGTGAGAGTCGTATTTTTCCACTCTTCTTGCCATCTGATCCTGCAAAAGCACTCTTATTGATAAGATCACCTATTTGAGCAGCAAGACTCTGGCTTGTGTCCCCAGCATTGACACTCAATATTTTCTCAGCACTGATAAATGCATCCCATCGGGCACTACATGATTCATCGAGGGCATATAATGCAGCTGTTGCTAACTGAATAATTCCTCTATTTCTTATTAAAGATGATTGGCTTTTAGCTAATGCTTTAATCATGGGTTTTAATTCTGATTTTGCAGTAGAATCAGGGTGAGTTTTTACATTAATATTCATATTTTCTCGACGCAGAGTTTCCTGAAGCCACTTCTTCACCAGGATAGCCCCATCTTTTGTACTTCTATCTAGTATGGTTTCCAGATATGGTGTTCCACGGAAATTTTCGGTTGAGACCAAGGACCCCTTTAGTAGCTCAGCAGGACAAGACTTTTCATCACTAGCTTTCTTGCTGAGATTAATCAAATCTACCATTCGAGAAGTAGAGTTATAGGAATCCCACCCACACAGAAAAGCTTCAATGCTACTTGAAAGACCAGAATCATCTATTTCAAAATCTTCTTCAGTTAAAATTTTCCCAATTGGTATCTGAAGCTCGAGGGAGGCTCGCTCTAGGCTAGAAGGGCCAGGCTTAAGTTGGGCTTGTGAGCCTTTGATACTTGCAGAGGACGATGTTCTTTCCATACGGGGCAAAGACGAAAAGATACGATCCACAAGTGAATCTCCATGACGGCATGGAGTAAGAAGATCAAGGGTGCGGTCAATAAGTAATAACCCCACTGTTCGTTTTCGGCGTCCTACATCATAAAGACTTGACATGTCTGTCAAAATCTTCCCAATAGTTTTTGACAAATCACCAAGGGAAAAAATTTCCATTTTCAAGTCCATCTACATGATTTAAAAGAAGATACAATGGTCATGATTCTGTAAAGAGGGATGGCAAGCAACAGTGCAATATAACAAATTGCAGGAGATAGAAGAAGAAAAATAAGCTAATTTTATGGTACAAAAATTTTCTATACTGTCTTGTTTCGAATTAATTCAAATAAACCATTGGTGTCAAACAGTACAGAGAAGTATTATCAAGAGCATACACGGCATACACGGCCAACAGACACTATCATTGCAGTGAAGTAAACTCCTTAAATATTTCATCTATTTCATACCAAATGAATTTCAATTAGCCATAGGAAATAAAAGTAATATATTCGCATGGGTTTCATCATACAGCTTTTACAGATATTTGTACTTTGAGCATTTTCAACACTAAGCTAACATTTAGAAAATACAAAATTTATCTGAAAGATAAACAAATGCAGGTAAAAGGGATTCGAAAAAAGATACAGAATATCATAGAAAAGTAAATTTTGGGTTTAAGCTTGCATAGAACTTCTTACCTTGGCGGCCAAATGATACAGAAAATGTGCAGTAAGGGTTGCAGCAGGAGGAATCTCATCACCATCAGAAGGCAATCCGGTGCTTAAGGAAGGCAAACCAGCACTAAGAGAATCCTCATGTTCAGCTGATAAGCATGCTTCGGCAACTGATCCCTCCGAAGGTAAGACAAATACTCTAGGAGAAAAGGGACATAAAATCAAGGGGAAGTGATGGACAGAAACGATCAATTTTTGCCCCAAATCTACCCTTTTCCCTCTTGGACTATCCTCACAAAGATTTTTTCCAGTGGAACTAGCCTCATGGGAAGGAACATCTTCCTCTGTGGAGGTGAGTCTAGACCATCCTTCATCTTCAAAGGTCAAATTTTCCTGCATATTACTATCAACCGACTGTACAGACTTTGTACCACATTTTTTAACAAGCTCCTCATAATCTTGGAGAAGCAAGGATTCATACTCACGGAATGCATCAGGTCCAAGGGGTGAATCAGGATATGCTGAATGAGCTACCTACAATAGCAATGCTCAATAAGATTCAACCGCAATGAACAGAAGAGATGAAGAGAAAACAATAGTGCCTGACATGAATGCAAAAAGAATCTAAAACAAATAAAAAGCATGGTACAGTATTCTATCAATTGCAACTTTGCAGAAGATGAGAACAGAAGAGACTACAAACATCAATTTAATAACACCAGTAGTTGAAAGCAGTAATACCCAAAATGAAGGAATTACCTCTGAGATAGATGTAAATATCGAACAACAATGAACCCCTTGATGCATGCTCAGGCAGCGTAGAACATAACGGTGTGCATCGCTTAATAGACGAGAAGTCATAATTGCAATTTTCCTTGCAGGGTCAAAATTTGCATTCCAGTCAACAACCTAGAGGAAAAAATATGTAACAAATGAGAATATAAATGTATATAATCAAGGGAACCTTATAACCATTTGCTAGCAAAACCAACAAGAGTTGACAATTTGGTAGATAACAAATGGATTCTAGCTGCTGTTTGTCATTATGTTCAGCCACCTTTTACTCTTAGTCCAGGTTTAGAACATCATGGCCCAGCTCAAACAACAGAAACATTTTGGGTTTGTACAAATTATATGTACAAAAACTACCAATTAATAACTAGAAGTATTATCCAGAAAAACATTAGCAATTAATTAAAAGAAAATGGTCTGGTACATTTATGTTTTGAGGTGTTTAACACAGCCCACTATTTCTTTTCCACATTTTAATATCCTAGAATATATGGTTCTTTACAACAACCTTTCTTTTCCCATTTTTGACTGAGTGAAAACCATAGCATTATTTACTTGTTAACAAAATGCAGGAAATTTTCTACCTTTCTCTGTAATGAGGGAACCAGTGATTTATTTACAAAGCTGAAACAAGATTGTGCAAGAAGCACTTAAAAATGTTTGGACCTCACGTGTCGCAACAGCTTACCACATCAAGAGAATACATGTTTTCCAAGCTGCAAACAGCACGTACTCCAAGGTCCAGCAACATAGGAAACGCTCCCATAAGCTGGAAACTTTCTGTGCATCCAGCATCTAGGTAAACAATTGCACCTTCAATGTGTTCCGATATCTAAACAAAGGCAAACACAACAACCAGAACAGAACTTAATCGAGAACCATTAGACAATCATTGTCCAATTGATACCACATATATGCATATTTAATATTACACCTAAAGAAGGATTCCACATTAACACCACAAAAAAAAAAAAAAAAAACAGGGGGAGGAGGGGAAGATTCATAGTCTGGTCACTCGTCCATATTAAAAATCAAATATTTGCATGGTAAATTATTCAGATGCATGTTATCAACAAGGTAGGGAAATGCCAACATATATCCAGCAGCAACAGAACTTTGCTCGGCTTGTTGCTAAATGATGATCATAGCATTCAAAAACCAAGACAGAACTATGGACTTAGGGTTAACATATATGATTAAGATGAAAGTTACACCCATTGTAAGACATCTTTAGTTTTCAACCAAACTACTAATAATTAAAAAAGTAATAATCATCTTGATAATGGAGATAGAATTGCCAATACACATTTGATATAAATAGAGATGCTTAATTCAATAAAACAAGGGCGATTAAGATCATTAAGAAATGAACTTACTTGGCCAATGGAATCGAGGCAAGATTTGGTCACATCAATCAAAGCCATCAGATCTGTAACCAAAAAGAAATCCATCAACCAAATCTGGAAAAAAAATTCTTTCAAAACAGCACTTAAGAGTGCTTAAACATAGTTAAAATTCAGGCTCCATTATCGAAACCCAACCAATGAAGTTTATTGAAATTAAAGAGTTTTCGAGGAATTTTAATTCCGACCAACCAAGCAGGTCGAATCTTGGAACAGAATTTCACGGAAGCCACCTAGACTTGCCTCGAAATGTTGTACAAATATTAGCTTTGTTGAAAGTACATCAGTGGCCTATGCTCCTACATACTCCTCTCCTTAGCTCCGACTCTGCCTTCTTTTTCTCTATTTATTTTCGTCGAGAATTTTTATTTTGTGCTTCCAACATACAGCACAAATCTGTGTTCGCTGAGTTTCTCGTACGAGTCACGAGTCACGACTCACTACTAACGTTGCTCATAGCTGAAAGATAAGGGACAAACTGAATCCGATTTGGTGTTGTCTTTTACGTAATATATGTTATTATGATTTTTCAAATTTAGATCAATTAAATTTTTTTAAATTAATCTAAGTCGTATTTTACCGATTCAATTTATTTTTATTTATAATTTTTATATTTATATTTTACTTTTTATATTTCTTTAACATGATTTTAATATATTTAAATAAATATAAATATAAACTAATTATTTTATTTTACAAAAATTTAAAATATATATAAACTAATAAAAAATATAAATCAATTTAATTTCTATATTTTTAAATATTATTATTTTTTATTTGAAATCCAATTCAAATATAAAAAATTAATATCCATATTTAATTGAAATCGGATAAAAATTTTAATTTAATTTGAACTAAACATTATTAATTTAAATTAAATTTTAATTCTTTTTTTATTTTCGCCCTACTAAAAATTGACTTGCCAGCCAAGTCCCGCGTGCATGTTAGTGTTTGAAGATTTTATTTATAGGGAAGTTCGAGTCATATTGTTTCTAATTCTAATTATTGTGTTAAGAACATATTAGGCTAGGTTTTTTTTTTATTCCAATTATTTCGAATTTGAATTAATTTTGAAATTTATTTGATGTAAAATAAAAATACTAATATTAGATTTTTAATAAAAAATTTATTAATTCTAACTTTAAGTACTAAATTCATTTTATTGTCTAATCAATTTCGGGATTTGAATTATTTTAATTTCAAATTTTTTGATAATATTTGAGTTTAAATTTATGTTGTCATCTTTAAAGTTAATAATTAATACCTTAATTGGTTTGTTTAAAATATAAGAAAACTCAAAATGTAGTTGGTTAAGACAAGTATTAGATAGAACTTTTTAAATGAAGTGGTAAAATTCTTTATCAAAAATAATAACATAAAAATTTATTTTGAAAATTAAAATTTTTAGATTGATAGAGATTAAAAAAAATTAATAATATGTAAAAATTATTATTAAAAATATGATTACAATCAAAATATGGTGAGTATTTATTTAACAATAAAACTCTATTAAAACTTTCAATAAAAATATAATGTTTATCTGAAAGTATATCAAAATTTATTAAATATATTTTAAATTTTATAAATTTAATTTACATAATGAATCATTCTAATTTATGGATTTGAATTTTTAATTTTAACTCTTTTTAATCATTTTTAATTAAAAAAATTTCATAAATATTTCACTTAAAAAATTTCTATCTTGCACAATTGGTCGAATCATTAAGATAGTGGATTTTTCTTCAATAATATGATGCAATTAAAAGTAGTATTAATTGAGTTTTAAATGCATAATTTGCTATTAAATACTTAACTTTCTATTGCCTTCTTGGCTAATTAATTCTCTTAGGATGAGTTTGGATGAACATGATTTCAAAAAAAGATTTCATTTGTAGTGAAACTTTAAAAGTTTTAAACTAAAATTACTTTATTTGATAAAATAAAAATTAAAATTGTCAAAATTCTTGAAATTTGAATGAAAAAATTTGGAGGGTAATTTTTTTTTTTTCAAATAGAATTTGTGAAATTCTTTGTTTTTATTGTAAGAAGTTAAAATTTACTATATTTCTTTTTTTATGTAATTTTTATTTTTTTAATTTTAACTATAAAAATCCATTATAAAATTTATTTTTTAAAAATTTCATATTGTTAGTAATATTTAAACATTTTCACAAATCTGATGAGACCCATTTTATATTTTTTTTTACTATTTTTCTTTTTCTATCTCTAATATCATTATGTATCTATTATAATTATTTTTTACCTCATCAAATTTCAAAATTTAAAATTCCTTTCTAAACAATAATTATTCAAACAATGCAATTGCATATTCTATTATTTTAAATTGGTGCATTTCAAAATGCTAGCATCCAATGAAATTTCAAAATTTTCCATCCATACACACCCTAAAATCAATATCATTATATTTTAACTAGAATCGGTGCCCATACTCTGTTGCAATATTTTATAAATACTTTTAATTAAAAATTTTATAAAGTTTGAAATTTATTATAATTTAATTATCTAAAAATATATATTACAAATAATTTGTTGAAAAAAATTGTTCGAAATACTCCATCAAATCTCGACATAAATTTGAAGAAATTAATTTTTTAATTTCATATCATTATATATTTTCTTGAAGTTCATTATTTGAAAATTTTAATGTGTATTTTTATAACATGCATGAAAGAATGTAAGATGCTTTGAGTAAAACCAAAAAAACCATTTATTTTAATTATATTTTTTCATTCATTATTAATTATTTATCATATTTCATTTTTTTGAATGTTGCGTCTTTAATTTTAATTTTATTTATTTTATTTTATATGAATTTAATTAATTTTCATATTGAAAAATTTTAAGACTTTCCTAATATTTTAGTGAAGTTAATAAAAATCTTTTAATTCTCATTTTGAAAATTTCTAAGATTTCATTAATGTTTTCGTGGATTCAACAAAATTCTCATCTCTTTAAAATTTCATGTTAGAAATTTGCCACTATTTCTAATCAAAATTTCATCATTGGCTGCTTGAATATTTAACTTATTATATATTTTAATATATTTTTTATGAACTTGATTTTTAAAAATATGATTCAATAAATTAACATAACAGCCAAAAATAAAATTGATAATTAAAGAATAAAATATGTAAGTAAATATAATTTAAAGAAATTTAAAAAACATATTTTTGATGGATTCATTTGGACTTGAATTAATTTGAACACAATCAATGGCCATGGATGAACCCAAATCAGGAGGCCACTACTCAATTGCCTATTTAAAAACATGTATTAAATGGACAAAAATGGTTATTTAGTATTTATAGTACTTAAATTTTAACTCAAATTATTTTTTTTAATATTTAAAAAGTTTTAATTGAATCTTTAATTATTTAAAATTATCTTGCTTTGATTATTTCATCTATGAAATCATCTAAATTAACGATAAATACAATCAACGTCATGTTATGATGTCAGTTAATACCTCACTTGACAAAAGAAAGACCAAAATAGAATTATCTTAAAATTTAAGTGTCAAAGATGAAACTATCTCAAGTTTTTATATATTTTATATATATTTTATAAAATATTAAATTTAAGATTATATTTTTACATTTTTGTGGTAATATAATTTATTAGTTATAATTTTTCTTTTAATAGAAAATAGATTTTTAAAAATTAAAATTAAGTTAAAATTCATATACCTTTTTTTTAAATTCAATATCATTAAAACAAAAAAAAAATGATTTTCTATTAAAAATTATTTTACAAATAAATCATAATAAAAAATATTATTTTCTATCCAAAAATTATATTTTTTAAAATACTAAATAGGTTTTATTTTCCTTTTTATAAAAATAAAAAAGGAAAAAACAAATAATTAAAGAAAATATTGATTTTTATATATTTCAAATATATTTTATAAAATATTCTAATTTAAAATATTTTTTTATTTTTATTATGACATGATTTATCAATGAAATAGCATTTTTAATAGAAATTAGATTTTTAAAAAATTAAAATTAAGTAGAAATTTTCAAAATAATTTTTTAAAATTACATATCATTTTAAAAAATTAAGTAAAAACTTCTCTATCAGTTTAAAAAATTAAAAAAAAAAAAAACTCCATATTGTCTTAAAATATTATGTAAAAATTTTCATATTGTTTTAAGAATAGAATGATTAACCCATAAAAAAAATTTTATTTTCTATTCTAATTTGACTTTTTTTTGTTAAAAAATTTATATTCATATAAATAAAAAATTTTAATTTAAAACTTTTTTATTTTTCTTTTTTATAAAACATGTTTTATAAAATATATTTAAAAATGAAAAAAAGATCTTTAATATTTTAGAAAAATAATTTTTTAGAAATAAAATAATATTTTTTATTATGATTTATGAGTAAAAAAATACTTTTTATTTTTAAAATGTATTGAATTTTTTAAAAAAAGAATTTGAAAATTTTAAATTAATTTTGAGTTCTGAATATCTATTTTTATTTAAAATAAAAAATCTAACTAATAAGCTATATTGCAGTAAAAAAATATAAATATATAATTTTAAATTTAATGTTTTTATAAGACATGTATAAAATATATAAATTTTGAGATAATTTCATTCTTGATCTCTAAATTTTGAGATAATTCTAATTTGGTCCCTCTTTGTAATGCAAGCGTCAACTTACTTATCAAATGGTACTAACTAGCATTTACTATCAATTTAAATGGGCCATTGACAAAAAGACCAAAGTAGAATAATGTTGAGTAATTGAGGATCTAAGTAAAATTTTTAAAAAATTAGAGATCAAAATGAAATTTGGGTCAAACTTTAGGAATTACAAGTGGTATTAACCCTTATTTTCTAAATTGAACATGTTTCTACTAAAAAGCCCTTAAGGTATTCTTTTAATATATAATTGTAGATTATAAATTATAAATAAAGTTATCCCAACTTAATGTAAATGAGCCCTTTGGGATTTTGAAACTCAATATTAAATAAGTGGGATGGGACACAAAAGTTAATTTGGGGGATAATCTTGGTAGTAGATATAGGTTATGGGGTTAAATTTGATTTTTTGGTTTATAGGATTGGGATTAAGTCACTATAAGGATGATGGGAAAGCATTTTTTTTTTTTTTTGCCCATAGATTTGGGGTTAAAAAGTTACAAAGAAAATGAAAATAAAATAAAAAGTAAGATTTTTTTCGTTTGTTCTCTTTTTTGGTTTTTTTTTTTTACTTTTTAGAATATTTTCGTAAAAAATTTTTAAAAAATGTAAAATATCAATAACAAATATAACTAATCATGCATATTATGACAAAAAATACAATTATATACACAATTAAAGTTATCTCTAAATGAAAACAATTCCCTTTGAAATTGAAAGGCTACTCATTCCAATTAATTATCACATGGCATTTTTTTCCACAGTAAAGCAAAGAAAGGAAAGAGAAACGGAAGAGAAATGATTGAAATATGAGATAAAATATTAAAATCTAAAAAATATAATAAAAAGATAAATATAAATATAAAAAGACATAAAAACT